TTTCCCCAATAGCAAAATATAACTGATCGCCATCGACTGGTTTAAGCAGCCGGAGTAATAAGGAATCAACAATCTGTCCAGAGAACTGCACGTCCTTCAACGGATAGAACGACCATAAAAACGATCGATGGAGTAAGTCAATATGTTCCTCGTCCAGCCCCTCAAGTACTGTCGCATGGCTGGAAAAGTTACAATACGTCGTAACTTTTTCCGAATGAGCCCTCAGATCGTTGTCGATATGATATTCCATCCTACAAAATTAATACATGTTAAAACCATATAAAAGAAATTATAAATAAAATATCGTACCTTCAAATTTAACCAATCAAATTTCATATTAATCAACCAATAAATAAATTCATCTAATCACATATTAAAACAGTTAAACAAAAAAATTTCCACATATTTGACTATTTAATATTTATTTAAAAATTATATTTCGTTAATTATGTATATTATTTAATTCGATTATTTATTTGAATAATATTTATTCGATTTTTCGTTTCACAATTTCTTTAATTAATTATCTTAATTGATGAAGTACAAAAAATATTATTCAATTTCATTTATTCTTTAAATATTTCGTTAATTATGTATATTATTTAATTCGATTATTTATTTGAATAATATTTATTCGATTTTTCGTTTCACAATTTCTTTAATTAATTATCTTAATTGATGAAGTACAAAAAATATTATTCAATTTCATTTATTCTTTAAATATTTCGTTAATTATGTATATTATTTAATTCGATTATTTATTTGAATAATATTTATTCGATTTTTCGTTTCACAATTTCTTTAATTAATTATCTTAATTGATGAAGTACAAAAAATATTATTCAATTTCATTTATTCTTTAAATATTTCGTTAATTATGTATATTATTTAATTCGATTATTTATTTGAATAATATTTATTCGATTTTTCGTTTCACAATTTCTTTAATTAATTATCTTAATTGATGAAGTACAAAAAATATTATTCAATTTCATTTATTCTTTAAATATTTCGTTAATTATGTATATTATTTAATTCGATTATTTATTTGAATAATATTTATTCGATTTTTCGTTTCACAATTTCTTTAATTAATTATCTTAATTGGTTAGGTAAAAAAATATTATTCAATTTCATTTATTCTTTAAATATTTCGTTAATTATGTATATTATTTAATTCGATTATTTATTTGAATAATATTTATTCGATTTTTCGTTTCACAATTTCTTTAATTAATTATCTTAATTGGTTAGGTAAAAAAATATTATTCAATTTAATTTATTCTTTAAATATTTCGTTAATTATGTATATTATTTATTTCGATTATTTATTTGAATAATATTTATTCAATTTTTCATTTTACAATTTCTTTAATTAATTATCTTAGTTCGTTAAGTAAAAAAATTATTATTTTTTTAATTTATTCTTTAAATATTTCGTTAATTATGTATATTATTTATTTCGATTATTTATTTGAATAATATTTATTCGATTTTTCGTTTCACAATTTCTTTAATTAATTATCTTAATTGGTTAGGTAAAAAAATATTATTCAATTTAATTTATTCTTTTAATATTTCGTTAAT